AGATACATACTGTTTCTATAGATATCTATGTAGATATGGATTTTGATCTATTTATATATAGATACATACAGAGATTTGAAAGGGCTGGCTTGCATGGTTGTGAGGTTTCACATGTCTAAAAGCCACAGGGCAGTGACACAGACCTGCAGCAGAATTCCTTCCTTTCTGAGAAAGCCCAGTTTCTGCTCTTAAGACCCTCAACTAATTGGATGAGAGCTACTCCCATTATCAAAGGGAATCTCCTTTTCTTTTCTTTTTTTTAATCATTTAAAAATGTATGATAGATTGCATGCATGCACACAAGAAAAAGAGAGACAGGGAGAGAGGAGTATGCACACGATCTGGTAATGCTGTGATCCCCTTCCTCCAGCCCTTCAAATAGTGGGCACTCCTGCACATGCCCATGATGTTTTCAGGCTGACCAGGCTGAGATCTGAACTGTGGTCACTATGTGGGATTCAGTTTCTCTTGAGCAGTTCATATACCACTGTGCCATGGAGGCCTCCTTGTCTTAAAGTCGGCTAACATAGATATTAATCACATCTACAAAATGCTGTCATAGTAACATAGAGGCTAGTATTTGGCCAAGCAACTGGGCACCATACCCTAGCCCAGTCAACACATAATATTACAGGAGGGAGCCATGATGTGCTCAATGCTTACTGTGTGGTAGGCATTGCACCTAGCACTTTCTTGTTTTTTGGATTTTTTTTTTTTTTTTGCTAGAGGGCATGTACACTTATCAGAGAGACAGAGAGTCATGCTGTAATCCCTTCTGCATTTCTCCCTCTTTGAGATTTTGGAGAGGTTTTCTTTCTTTTTTTTTTTTTTTTGTTACAAGGCGCATGCACTCACCAGACAGACAGACAGAGAGAGAGACAGAAAGCGAGAAATTACCCCCCAGGGGGGATGGCCACACTGCAGTCCCTTCTCCTCCATTCTCCTCTTGGGATCTTGGGCATGCACACACACGCACCCGGCGTGAATTTAAGCCACCGGGTCTGGGACTCGAACTACGGTCGACTACGTGGGAGTCCAGTGACACAGCCATTACACTAACTGTTGGTCCCCCTCTTTGAGATTTTGAGCATACATGCTCACACTCCTGGCTTGAACCATGCAGTCGACTATGTGGGATCTGGCTGCCTTATCCACCAGGCCACAGAGGTGGCCCCACCGAGCACTTCTTAATTTCCTTATCAACATTTTCACAAGTGCATTGACTCTGAGACTCAGAAAAGCTAACTCAGTTTGCCCAAGAGGACAGCTCTTGTAGAGTCAGTTTGAGAAATCAAGTCTTAACTGCTTGCCACTGCATCAGACTGCCTCACAAAAGCTTCCATCTTAACAATTGAGATTGAGTGACCTAAAAGGCGTGAAGGAAATGACCCCATATCACTCCCCCTCTCAGGAATGGCTCCAGCATTCAGGTTTCTTGACTCCTCACAGCCCTTCTATCTCACCAGGCTGCTGTCAGTTTCTGGAAGATTCACCCTTGAAATATTCCATCCCCTGCAGGACTCGCTTTTCAGATGGATGGTGACAGTGGATTATTCACTCCTTGGTCAGTAAGCCCCAAATAAGGTGAGGAGTGCAAACACACCATGCAAAGGGCCCAGGCTGCCACCACCATCTCAATAAACAGATGTGCTCCCAGTCTCCACCCTGAAACCAGTTTATTGTTGAAACAACCACGTAATGAGACCCTTTCAGGACATCAACTTTGAAACCTCCTGAACCTACCTGCTGACAAACCCATCTTAGTTTCAGTTTGTATTTCATCAGGATTAATGGGAATTTGCAGAAAGCAGTCCCGAATCTGATGCTGTCTATGCAGAGGGAAATAACACTTGCGAGGACTCTATTTGTAAGGCATGCTGCATTCCTAGTGGGCCTGTTTACTCTAGGACCTGCAGTATATTGGGTAGGGTTGTTTGGTTGCAAGCAACAGAAACCAGTGTTAGTTAACGAACACAAGTTGTGTGGTATTTCTTATGAAATGCACATCGGATTTACAAAACCAGTGAATAAGATCTCAGTGAACCAGGGGAGCTCTGGGCCCCTCTGCAGAAGAGGCTCAGAGGCCTCAAGAGTGCTGACAGGAGCGCCCGTCTACTCGGGTTTCCCAGTCTCTACTTTGTCTAAATTTCCAAGAGTCATAAACTGATTTGCTCAGCTTGGATCAGAGTCTTCCTCTAACTGCCTGCCCTACAGGGGTTCAAGTAGGCCGGACAGAGCTCTGCGAGCTACTCGCATGCACAGGGGCCATAAAAGGGAGAATTAATTTTGAGCAGAGCACTCCAAGAAGCAGCTACTAAGAACTGATTTTAATATTGGGTCATCAGAGATGTCATGACATATTTTTCTCTATTTTCTATCCAAAAATGCATCATGACTTTTCTGACAACTCAGTAGTAATTCGGGGTTTATGTAGAGGGACATCCGCGTTTACAGATCTCTGCTATTGTGTGTACATGTCTGTGTGTGCCGTTTGCTCATTCCCTTCCCTTTAGCCCTCCCAGCCCCTCTCTCCATTACCATAGTGTTCATATCTTAAAAGAGTTAACTGCAGATATGGTCTTGGGCCCCACTTCAGAGATACGTGTCCTTAGGCTTATAACATCCTGCTGTCTTTGGGACTAGCAGATGGCATAATGGCTATGTCACTGGACTTCCATGTAGTTGGCCACGGTTCGAGTTCCAGACCCGTTGGCTTAAAATTCAGGCCAGGGGTGTGTGTGTGTGTGTGTGTGTGTGTGTGTGTGCCCAAGATCCCAAGAGGAGAATGGAGGAGAAGGGACTGTGATGTGGCCATCCTTCTGGGGTGATTTCTCATTTTCTGTCTTTCTGTCTCTCTCTGTCTCTAGTGAGCACACGTGCCCTATAGCAAAAATCTCTCTTAAAAAAAAAAATCCTGCCATGTTTACAACAAAATATAAATTCCATGTGGGCAGACCTGGACAGTTTTGTTCACCCTGTTATCTCCAAGTCCCTGGCACGTAGTAGGTGCTCAGTGATTATTGAAGGAGTAGAACCACTCACCAATACCAGAACACCTCCCCCCATGTCCCAGCAGCTTCAAGGGCTTTACCATTTTGGTCCATGGATATTGTTCAAGCCCATTTCCAATATCAAGAATTAGCACATAAGGCACACATCTTCCCTGGGGGAAAAGGTGGAGAACCACAGCTCGGCCTAGATTCAGTATAGGCCTGACGTAAAAGAAGGTTGGCAGACACCAGATGCCTGGCCATGGAGGAGAGAATCTTGGGTGTCTGACAACTGATGCCATTGTTCAGACAAAGAAGGAGAGGGAAGCAGGCCAGGACAGGCTGACTCAAACCTTTGGCCCTCATAGAGGCTAAGTATAGCTCACCTACATTCCATCTTGCTGTCATCCTTTACGAACCTGCTCTGAAACAGTGACATGAGGGCTATATATCAATGGGCGTATAGTTCAGTTAAGCACCAGGATAAAGAGTGAGCTACAGATGCTATTCAGAAGGGTCCAAATGGCATCCACTCCCTCTCATGGCCTCCTCCTCTCCAGTGGGAGCCAGAGAGACCCTTTAACCAAGGTGGCTTCAGAGAACTGTCCTTATTGTGACCTGACCCAGATTCCCCTCATCTTTCATTGATACCAAGCCCTGCTGTGTCCTTCTTGGACCGCTGCTCTGTTCTTTCCCACATGGTCTGGGCTAATATACTGCAGAGAGTGCAGCTACTCTTCGCAGACCAGCCGAATCCCTGCTATGCACAGGCTCAGTTTTACTGGGTAAAGTGACTTTAATAATGTAGCAATAAGGAGTTGTATGGCCAAAGATAGTGCTTCCATGTTTTTCAAAATGCTTTCCAGTGCCTACCATTGCCCCAAGGCAGTTGCTTTCTTTATGTCTGGGATACAGGCAGCTAGTCCATGATGGCATTGAGACTCAAAGGTCCGAGCAAGAAGCCAGACTGAAGTTCCCAGGTGATGGCCAACAGGGACCCTAGAAGACTGAGGCAGGAAGTAATGCCAGCACTGCGGGATCGCAACAAACCCCGCTGCCTGCCTGCCTACCATGTGCCCGGCGTGCCAAGTAGAATCGTATCACCTCGTTTCATCTTCACAGCCCCTCCAGGAGGTAGTTGTCATTGCTGCATTTTAGGGAGGAGGAACCCAAGCTCCCACAAAGGTTAATTACTTGCCCTAGATGGCAGGACTCACAAAATGACATTACCAAGATTTGAATCCAGTCCGCATTTATCGAAGCCTCACGCTCTATGGCCCTTCAGGAGCCTTCCTCCCTTTCCATGTGATGGCCACAGAACTGGGATATGGCAGGCAAGCCCAGAGGGCAGGAGCGAGGTCTGAGAAGCAGAGCAGAACATCAGGCACCAGGCAGGAGTGCATGAGAGGGCGGGGAACATCCCACCAATACGTGGGTGCCGGAGCTCCATCAATCTGAGGTGGGCTGCAAGGGGTAGCTCTGCCGACTTCAAAGGCTCGGGGTCCGGAGGACTCGGAGGGCTGAGGAGTCCCAGAGACAGCACCTGGAATTGTCTGGGTGATTCTGTCCACTTGGTCTTGTGTGGCCAGAGGGGCGACAGGAATGGTACCAGCCCAGGGAACCCAGTAGGCCAGTCTCCAATCCCTGCTCCTTCCTTGAGACCCTTCTTCTGCGCTTTTCTGATGGGAAGTTCTTTGAGACCCTTCTTCTGCGCTTTTCTGATGGGGACACACACTGTGACTGTGTGAGCGATTGTTCCAGCCCCCTGCCTGGCCTGCTGTCTGTTCACACTCCAGGAGGACTCAGCTCGCTGGCTCAGAGACAGCAGACTCCGTTCCTTTCTGGGCTTCCTAAGTGGTAATTGGCAAGCTGCCTCAGCACCCTGGGCTTAAACTGAGATGGACTATTCTCTTCTACACCTCCCAGACCAACTCCCAGCTGTCCTCTGGGAGAAAGTCCTAGGCCCAGCCTCACCAGGACCCTCTCCCTCCACCTGCTCCCTCTTTTCAGGAAGTCTGTTGTCCAGCTTGACCTTGCCAACACCAAGAAAGCGATGATCGTTCCTGCCTTCGAGACTCTGCGTTACCGCCTCTCCTTCCCCAAGTCAAAAGCGGAATTGCTGTCGATGCTGGACATGGGAACCCTCTTCACATTCAGGTGAGTGACACTCGCTGCTGTTCCCTGCCAATGCCCAAGGCCTTTTCTCTCCTGGAAAACCAGTCCCCAGACCTGTCACCTCGAAACACTAGGCCATTTTAAGGCCAAAAAACCCACCACTTGTTCCAATCAATGTCCCTGGAATCTTCTCTCTCCTCCCCCATGCCATGTACTTTTTTATGCATAGATAATAGATACTGTGTGTCCAGATGGAAGGACAGGCGTGTGTGGGTAAGAGTGAAGCTGCGTTCTTTTTTGTGCTGGTTTCTGAACTCAGTTTAGATTCCTCTCCCTTCTCCTGACTGAATTCTCTCCTGTGTGTGCTTGCCCATTCATCCTCGTGGCACCATGCTGGCGGTTTCTCACTCTCGTGTTGGTGTGAGTGGTCTGTCCTCAGAGCCCCTCAGGCCTGGGATGCACAGCAGTGGGTTTAAGAACTCAGCCATCGAGGTAACTTCAGATTGCCCACAGCAGAGGTGATAATCTGCTTTCCTGCTGTGAGTGACTGTTGCAAACAGAACCCTCATTTCCAGGCTTTCCTGGCCCCCGTGTCCTGCAGCAACATGGCAGAGAAGTCACCTGTCACCTGTCTCAAGTGCCCAGGACACTGTGCAGCTGCACAGGTGTGGGTGGAATCCATCCCCAGAGCAAGCTGAAGCATTAAGTGCCAGAACCCAGGGAACGTAAGAATCTGCTGGGCTTTCAGTTGAGCAGTTTGAAGAGAGTCGTCACTTCACCTGCTCATGTTTTACTGTGAGGCCTGTTTTGAACAACGTAAGAAATGGCGAACACGGGCTTTGAGCTGAAAAGCTTACATGTCTAGGCTATCCGAATTTGTTCTGTTTGTTTTATTTTTTTTGAGAGGTTTTTGCTATAGGGTGCGTGCGCTTGCCAGAAAGACAGACAGAGAGAGACAGAGAGATGGAAAGCGAGAAATCACCCCTTAGGGGGGATGGCCACACCACAATCCCTTCTCCTCCATTCATTATCCTCTCGGGATTTTGGACACGCACACACATGCGCCCGGGATGAGTTTAAGCCACCACTTCTGAGACTCAAAACACGGTCAGCTACATGAGAGTTTAGTGACATATCCATTACGCTAACTGCTGGTCCCTTATTTCTGTTTTTTAAGAATTATTTGTTTATTTTTATTTATTGGGTTGTTGTAAAAGTCATGATGTATATTTTTCTGTTTTTCTATCCAAATGCATTGTGACTTTTTCAACCCAGCATGTATAATTATTATTATTATTATTATTACTGTTAATAATAATCATTTTTATAGGGCATGTGAGGTCATCAGAGAGAGGGAAAGTGACAAAGCAAGCTGCCAGGTCCAGGACTGGAACCATGGTCAGCTATGTGGGAGTACAGCATCCCAACCCCATACCACCTGCTGGCCCCTTAAGTTTCTTTCTTTCATGTGAGAGACAGAGAGAAAGACAAGCACCCTCAACAGGGTTCATGCCATAATCTTCCCCACAGCCCTCTTAGCTAGCTAGGATCACAGGGATACACATACATGCCCCCATGTACAGCCCAACCCAGGAACCAAACCCCAGCCTTCAGCATGGCTCCAGCATTGCAGTGTTGCACTACCTCTGTGCCACCACCACTGGGTCCCAAACTACTGAATTGTGTTGCAGAGATTGTAGTCACAATTACTTAGATTTTTGTGTGCCTATTAAAATTTCGGAGCCATTTAGAAGATTTTCTCAAACAAACTTTATCTTGTGAGAATAACTCTAAGAGGTAGGTAATTCATTCCATCAGTCAGAGGTTATCACTTTCCACATTTTATACAGATGAAGAAACTGAGGAGTGGAGACCTCCTGGTGCACACAGGACTCCAACCACAGCTTTCTTCCCCTATGCAGAGTTCTGGAAAGTGACCTAGAGTTCATACTCCCACAAACCAAGCCTTCTTTCTTTTTCAGAAAGAAGTAATAACTGTCATTTATTAAGTGCCCTAACATGTTCCAGGCACTGTAACCACATATTTACCTCCATAATAAATCTGTGAGGCAGGTACTCATATCCCTCCTTTACAAATAAAGAAACTGAGGCTCTAAAGAGGCTAAATAACTAGTCCATTGCACATAGCAGATGGCAGAGCTGCATATAGCTCAAGTCTAAGGAAGCACATAGGCCTTATTCTTAACCGAAATACCATCAGGCCAAGTCTTATCAAGGTCTTAACCGCATTTCAAAGTACATGGGAAAAAATTACTCCTGGAAATTGAGACCTTAGAGGCCAAACCTTACTCTGAGGCTCCAATAGACAGTAGCCTGACAGCTGAACACCTGGCAAATTTCCAGTATGTCCTTCCTTCCATCTCCATCCCCAGGTGATCTGAGAATTCATTTCAAGAGCCGTGTCCATGGGCATGAAAGCTAGGGCTTGATCTGCTCTGTACGTGGTTGCTGCTCTGACCAAGAGCCTGCAAGCCACCATGCCAGGTGCTAAATGATACCTTCCTTCTAAGAAATTGCTTCTGTCACCTGCTCTCCAAATAACACATTATTAAGCCTCTGAGCAGCTGAAGCCCACTCCATACCACATCTGGGATAAGAAAGCCTCTGCACTCCCACCAGTCCTCCGGGGCTGTGGTCCTCAGAGTGCAGTCCGAGGACCAGCTGCATCAGCATCATCTGGGGACGTGTAAGAGATGCAGTCTCCAGACCTCCCAAATCAGAACTCGGGGGCTGGCGCCAAGCCTCCTGTGGATTCTGAGGCACAAGTTTGAGAACTAGCTTTGCTCAAAGCAGTGTGCCCCAAATCTCTTCTTCTCAATGTGTCTCTCAAGGCGTACCAAGGAAACCGCTTTCAGCATCTCATTCCTTTATTCATTTTGTTCTTTGTTTCTTCATTTTTCTTTGTTTTGTTTTGGAGGCTTCCTGGTATTGCTGGTCTCAGAGAACAAGCTCTGAAGTCCAGTGCCTTGTGGACTGACAGTAGGTCCCTGATTGGATTCAGGGCTGTGGCCTTTTTTTTTTTTTTTTTTTTGGGGGGGGGGGTGTTTTTTTTTTTTTTTTTTTTTTTTTTTTGCTGTAGGGCGCATGTGCTCGCCAGCCAGCCAGAGAGAGACAGAAAGATAGAAAGTGAGAAATCACCCCCCAGGGGGATGGCCATGC